AAGTTAACACTAAAAAAAGCTAAGTTGTACGTATGCAACAAAAACTCACTCACATACTCCATTTCACACCTATTCAACTCTAATTAAACACAAACACCATTGCCAGTTTCAGACATTTACCTTCACATGCACGTTTCTTTCGCCGACAATTTCCCAAATCACTGCAAATACATTCCCTTAGTCACAGTCACAGACTACTACCCAAAAAATAATATACAAACACTTAAATACCTAACAACCGTAGCCTGAGGAGTGCCATTCATAATAACTCGCCTCTTTTTCGTCACTCTATTTTGAGGAGATCGCTTTTTTGAGCTCTGACCGTCTGGCCAAACACATTCCAATATTAGTAACCAGAACTTGCTACTTTTCACCGCCCAATTCCATTCATAGCAAATAGCTACACCAATTGCAACATCACCGTAAACAAACTAATGACACACTAACAACAGAAAATTCTAAATAGCTTGCCCATTGAAGGATCAATTTCACTGTGCCAGATAACAAAGCAACTTCAGCAGATGCACACCAAATGATCCTCGGTAGTAAGCTCATATGTCTCTTACATATAATTCCATCTCACAGAGTATCTTTACATATATTACACCTGATATGGCCGCATGTTCCATGGTCTGTTGAAAAGAAAAGAAAAAAGAAAAAAAAAGCACACACACACACTAAAAGTCACATCAGAAGTATTTTTCAAAATCGCTTTTTGCAATATCAGAGCTGCTTACCAACATAAATACACAAGATCATGCCTAATAACAACTCAGTCTCAGTAACTCCAAAGTCAAATGGAAATAAACCCACCCCCCCCCCCCCCCCCCCCTCCCTTCCAATCCCACCCCACTCATTAGAAAATGCCTGTCCATAACTATTAATCATTCACCAATCAGCAACTGCGACCTCCCAGATAACAATGAAACAAGCTAATGTATTTCATACCAAAGAATATGCATTTGCAAAAAAGATAATACAACATTAGCTATAGCTCATATAAAAGATAATACCACTTATAATAATGTCAGCCAATAATATATATACATATATATATATATATATATATATATATATATATATATATATATATATATATATATATATATGTATATATATATGTATATATATATATATATATATATATATATATATACATATATATATATATGGGTCACTGTTACACTAAATTGTTCACGTACAGCAAAGTACAAGATAATTAACATAAACCACACCATACAAAACAATTGCCACTGCAACCATGCACTCGAATGCTTCTAGAGTGGCAAAGCCTAACCTAATAAAAAAGATATTTAGACATAAAGTCAGGGACGCAAACATAAGCTCCTAGTGTGACAACAGCTAATCCACAGATCTCTTGACAAAAGTTCTTAGCAAAAAACAGCCAAGCCCATCAGCTATAAAATCCTTGCACGCTTGAAAAAGGTATCCAAATCATCATCCGAAGGCACACTGTTGGACGAAGAAATTCCAAATACTGAAAAAGGTCGCGGCTTATTTCCCCTTGTTTCGCTGGAGGTTGAGGAGGAACTTCTGAAACAGGAATCTGTGAGTGCTCATCTGTTGGAGTAAAACATTCATGGCTGTCTGCTGTCGACACATCCGACACAATGTTTGCCCCATCCATAATTGACGCTCTTGCAAACAAACACCTCTCACTCCACATCAGGCTAGCAACATGAGCAGCCATTGTATTCCCATAATTTGCATCAATAACAACTAAATTGAACCGACATGCCAGAAAGCAAATAGCCTTCTTTGCAGCCTGTTGCTCAGCTACACTGACCTCAGAACATGGGTCACTAAAAACACATTCCAAATCTTCTCCAGTGGAAGAACAGCTTATCATTATCCGGCATTTAAGCATATAAATGCCTTGCTCTCAACCAACACTGTTTCAAAGGAAACAATTAAAGCAGCAGTCTTCTTAACAACATCAGTTAAGAAACTAACAAAATCCATTGTCACGTGAACAACCCCATTAGAAGATTTCCCATAAGCAACTTCCCGTCTAAAACACTTAGATATGCTCTTTTCATCATGGACAAGGACACCACGCTTACGAGAAAATAAACTCCCACAAAGCTCATACATCTTCACCTTTTCTAAAGTAAAATCATCAACAATAACACCATACCGCTTCATCAAACCATGAACAGCTTTCTGAGCCGCCTTTTCACGTGATGCCTCTATAGTAGACTCTCCCCCCCCCCCCAAAAAAAAAATAATAAATGCATCCAGGACCAGTTACCAACCGCACGCGCACATACACACTATTTTTCCCACCAGGCCTCAGACCATAAACAGGCTTTGGAAATTGTAGACAATCAGTTACACGCTCCAACAGCGGCCCAAATGGGATAGAGATTGATTTTGCAACACAATCCATAACCTGTACCTTTAATCAACTAAATCAAACACCAATACACACACACCAGCACCAATGAAGTCAGAAAAACAAACACACTCCAACAGAGCAAAGCTATGTAAATATCCCTATCAAAAAACAGTTTACATGCACTTCAATACACAGGTTAACAAAAAGCCTACAAAAAAGAAACAATAATACACACAAGACAAACTAAACATGTCAGAGAACCCAAAAATCATTTACAATAACAATAAATACCTATAGCAGGCAGTGCAGACGGCAACAATGGAAGTAGCCCAAACCCCAGCAGCAAAATGACCTGTGCAAGATTAGAGTACAGTTTAGTATAGCAATGAAAATCCGACTAACTACATTAAGGCCACACAACAGCAACATCATTAAACATAACCCAATTATAAATCCAATAGACCCCCCCCCCCACATTTTTTCCCAACAAAACAGCATACCATTTGCAGCAAACACCATCAAGATCCTACCCATTAAAAAACCAGGGACTCTCTCTCTTGGTAATAATCTAATTCCTTTGACCAGCATAATCTTTCAATAACCCCGCCCCCTTTTTCTCCCAACAAAAGAGCATAACACTCACAGCAAACACTGTTAAGATCCTACCCATTAAAAAATCAAGGATTCTCTTTCTTAGTAATAATCTAAACAATAAAACCAACATAATCTATTTTAACTTAAACTAAGGATTCTCTTTCCTGGTAATAATCTAAGGAATTAAACCAACATAATCTGTTTCAACTCAACAGAAGGAAACCATTCAAGGATAATGCAAAAAAATAATACTAATTGATACTCTTAAACCCATCAGCCCAACAATAAATCCAATTAACCCCCCCTTATTTCTCCCAACAAAAGAGCATACCATTCACAGCGAACACCATTAAGAGTCTACCAATTAAAAAACCAAGGATATACAGGAATTAAACAAACATAATCTATTTTAACTTAACTGAAGGACACCAGTCAAGGATAATCCAATTGCAACTTAACTTCAAAACACTACACATAACCATATTATCAAATAGACGTGTCATCCTACAATACACAAGGCAGCATCTAAAACACACCAGAGAAACACAGAACATAGATAGAGATGAACATGTTCCATAGTATTGCAACCATATTTTTTCAATGTTCAAACAAGTAAACATTGTATTAGGTAAAAGCGTTCTTAGATTTAGCAATATTAGGTTCAAGTCCAATAAGCACAACCATTTATGACGCAAAAATCATGCTCCAAAACCAAGCTCTCAAATCTGAATACCTTAACCAAACTTTTCTTATGAGAAAAAGAAACCGCAAAACATGAAAATCCAAAGAACTTGTATATATATATATATGTATATATACACACACACAAAGTATAATATACCTACAAAAGTTAGAGCCTTCCCCATAAAAAACAAATTATTAGACCTCCCCACTAAAGTTCCACGTTCTAATGCCTCATAATAAGGAATTCGAAAGGGATTTCTCAACAAAACAAGCAAAAGTACATACAAAGTACAGTAAAGAGAGTTCTTAGTCTTCTAACACTAACCACCCCCATCACCCAACCCCCCACCCAAAAAACCAATACAATATTAAAATAAACTACCCCTCCTAAGTGAACATTAACTGTGCCCACAAAACTAATTACAACCATAATCGAAAATATCACATCACCCTCACCAAAACGAAAGATAATCAAAAGTACCAATAATAACAATAACAAATATCAGCAATGTTTGTACCGTAGTAGATACAATACTAACTTTTGTTAATTCCACAAACCGAGCAAAGTAATTTAATGTCTGCAATATCGAATCGTCTGCTAATTCACAAAAATCAAATATTTAACTTTAGGTTCAAAAAGATAATTTGATGGTAATATGATTTGAATTTCATTTGATTTGAATCTCATATAATCAAATATATTATCACACCAACAACGCCGAAAATCAAAGCAACAATAATAATAACATAAATGAACAATGTAACAATAACATATTATTAATAAACACTTACTAACGCAATAATGCCACCGTCGCCCACGCTAAACTCCAAGTCCACACCCTCAGACGCCATTATCACTGCAACCCGGAACAACCGCCTGGATCTTATACAGAAGCTCACAAGAAGAAAACCCCAAAACACCATCCTCAACAAGATTAAACAAGTGGTAGTACCCAAGACACGAAATAATATCTAAATAATTTACCATATTCTGTAGGCCGCAACCTCAAATTAATCAGAACGAACGGCTGAGAGAATAAGGGAACCATTTCAGCCATCAACACCAAGAAAACGAACACTCTTAGGCAACAAGACGAAGGAAACAAGGTAATTACACGGGGCACAAACAAGCTGACGAAATAAGAACAGGTGGAAAAAAAAAAAAAAAAAAAAAAAAAAAAAAAAAAAAACATCAGCAGACGAGGGTAATATCGGTAAATAACTGTTACTAAGCTACAATACCGAGAAATGAACAGTAACTGTACTACTTATATATTAGGGGTTAAGGATTGAAAGTTGGTTATGCACGCAACCATCCAACTAGTAATTCAAAAAAGGACAAAGAACAATATTAACTCGGCTAAAAACTAATATTGTGGTGTAGAATCGTTTGCATATATTCATTGAAGACGAAATATATCATACAAGTATATATACATCTTATTTAACTTGATTCTAAGGTTTAGGTGGATTAGAACATAATAAAAAATGATGGAGAATAACAAAACAGTAGAAGTGGTTAACTTCGGAAAATCTGTTATAGTGCCAAGCGTACAAGAGCTAGCTAAGGAGTCCATCACCCATGTTCCTTCTAGGTACTTGAGAGTTCAAGAGAACGACAACGACTCAACGATCGACTGTCCGATTGATCAAACATCCCCGGTATCAGTTCCGGTGATTGATCTTCAAAGGCTTCTTCATGCTGATTCTAAGGACTCTGAATTAGACAAACTTCATCTTGCTTGCAAAGAGTGGGGATTTTTCCAGGTACTTATTTTTCCTTAAACTTACACACCTCTTAAGGCTATTTCGCTGTAGCTTTAACCCATTAATCCAAGTGTAACTTTTAATTTGTAATAAATCTGATCGTAGTTTAATGTGTATATTCTATTAGATACATGTAATATGTTATAAAAGATAATATGATTAATCAATTAGATTCATTATTATGGAGTGTGAATATTTTTAAAGGGTAATAAATGTTAAAAATGGTAACTTTTATACTGTATACATACGGTAATACTAGCAACTTTAAATCATTTTAGGATAATTGTAACCCGTCTTACAATGAACGAAAGATAAGGCTGCCATATTCAAGAATTTGTGAATTTAGATAAGAAACACATAAGTACTTCCTTTGTTTACTTTTAAATGCAACATGCCTTTTTGATACGCTTTTCGGGAGATGATTAGACCAGATAAATAAACTATTTTATCAAAATAATGTTAACACCAAGATTTTAGAAAGGTTAAGTTCTAGGGGCCTGTTCTGATTTAGTGAATTGAGTTGAACTCAACTGAACTAAATTGTTTAGGAGAGAAAAAAATTAGGAACTGAACTAAAATGAACTGAAATTAAGCCGAAGAGAACAGACTTTATATGTATAAATTATTTTGATTAATTTGTCCTCTTACATTACTTAATCTCTTCCTTAGTGGTTAGTGCGTGCCGAAATAGTGATGTGTTGTTTAAAAGAAAACAGAGGAGGTATATAGCTAAACCAATCTATTGTGTTCAACAATTTTAACAGGTGATAAACCATGGGGTTAGCATTTCATTGCTAGAAACATTCAAGGAAGAGGTAACTAATTTTTTGAAGCTTCCAATGGAGGAAAAGAAGATATTATGGCAACAACAAGACAATCAAGAAGGATTTGGGCAGTTGTTTGTGGTTTCGGAAGACCAAAAACTTGACTGGTGTGATATGTTCTACGTCACCACTCTTCCTCTTAAATTAAGAAAGCCTCATCTTTTTGATAATTTGCCTCAAAATATCAGGTTTTTCTCTAACTCTTTCTTTAATCAGATGCAAAAATCAGACAAATTCTTTTTCTAAAATATTACCTCTCGTTTAATTTGCAATAAAGACTTTTTTTTTTTCCCTTATTGCAAATAAATTAAACTAAATGAAGGTAGTTATTTCAATTATATCAAATAAGTCGGCCCACATACATTACTAATAATTTTCATGTTGTGGTGACTATTTTTCTACAGCAATTTTAAAGATAAAATAAGTCGGAAAACAATACTTCTTATTTTTACACTTTTATGGGCATATAGTTTTAGGCAATTTAATAATGAAGTCCACATTCAAATTTATTGAAAATTAATGAATGTGAGCGGAATGAAATAATCATTATTAATCAATCAATAACTTAATCTATATCTATATTTATACTTAGTATTTAAAAACTATAACTAAGAAACTAAGAAAGACACATGTCCTGATCTATTCTATTACACTTCTCTAACCATAGTGTCACATGTCATTTTTCATTAAACTTATACTTCATATTTCATACACACTTTATCTCTTCATCTTAATCTCTCCCCTTTAATTAAACCTTTTCCCATTCTCTCTTTAATTTAAGCTCTTTCACCTTCTATTTAAGCCACTTTTTCGATTAAAGTTCCAAAATTTTAATTTCTTTAATCATGTTTCCGATAACATATTATACCCTATAATAACTTATTGATATTTTTCTTCAAAAAAAAAAGCTTATTGATATTTTTCCTCACTTATCTCTCAATACAATTTTATAAGAATAACCCGTGCATTGCACGGGCCAGAAGGCTAGTTAATTAATAATAAAACAAACACCGGAGGTGACACATGTCATATCATGGTTCTGTTTTTTCCATTCAAAATTCCCATTGCTTTTTAGCAAAAAATATTTTTAGAATATTTGTATAATGCAAGTATAATAATATTCTTTCAAATCTTTTATATTTTCTTTGTAATAAATATTTTTCTTTTTATTAGATGCTTTTAATTCTTCCATACATATTTACCTAAAATCTTTTTATTTTTTATTTTTTTATTTTTTATTTTTTTAAAGAATTACCTAAATCTTAGCGTAACCCTTTTTTAATTGATTCATACAATTGATATTAATGAAATTACTTTAACCGGATTATTGTTAGATTTTTCCAAAAAAGTAATACTACCTCTATTTTTTTATTAGTTAACACGTTTTGACTTTATCATTATCCACACACCTCCCTTTGACCGTATTTTCTGGTTTATATGTGAAGAAAAATATAGTCAAATGAGATTTTGTTAGATTCGTCACAATGTATATTTTTAAATATAAACTTTTTATAATTTTTGTTTATTGCTATTTAAAGATATAAATGATTGAATTTGTGCATTGACAAATGTGACTGAAGACACGTGTCAACTAAAAATAAATGGAGGAAGTATAATTCATAATAAAATTGATTCATTTAATTGTTATTAATGAACTTACTTTATATTAAACATGACTTAAATTTTTAAGTGTGTTTTGTGTGCAGCATAACCTTAATAACACTGACCATATTTTAATCTAATTATGATAATATATATTAATATTTTGCTTTGTCTTTTAATATAGATTATGACTATATAATTTCTTCATATTTGATGTTTATGTTTATCAAATTTTATTTGTTACATTTAGTTACTTTTTAAAAAAAATAAAATTGAATGAACTTATTGTGCATAGTAGGGGGCCTAAGCTGGTAACAAAAAAATAGCAGTGGGTTAAGTGGGCACCATAAAGAAAAAAAATATATATAATACAGAGTATCAAAGTATAGTTTTTTCTTAAAAAAAATGGAATACTTATTAAAATATGACTATATTTAATAAGTGTAACACTTATTAAAATACGTACCGGTCATTTTCTTATGTTGCCGTGACTGCTTTTTCTACAACAATAGACAACAATGGATAAGAACCATGCAAGCCGGCATAGACAACAATAGGGATGACATTAAATTTGATGTGTCGTTTACACAAGTCTAAGCAAATATTCGTGTATTCAACACAGGACATTCGAAGTTCCAACAACGAAACATTATATGGTGTGTATCTTACTCATCTCTTCACCTCATACTCCGTATAAAACAAATCTTTAATTGGAAGTATTATGGATAATATCGATGTCATTTTATCATAAGAAATATCCATTAAGTCAAGGATTATTATCAAGAAAGGTTTGACAGGATTTAGCCTCGATCTTATATGACTATAAGGTCATGAGATTAAATCTAATCAAGGGCTCTTTGCGAGTGAGGATTTCGGGCCTTGTCATTATTTCTCACTTCTAATGAATTTGACTCACATAAAAAGGACTCATAAATAATAAATCAACATCAAATAAACTTTCATTGCAATATAAATCAATGATGACAAATATACTTGTATTATCTATTACCATAATACCATTTGTATATACTTGATTTCAGCTTATGACATATTTTGCCAAACATTCAATGTTAGAAATCTCTTTTCGGCTACCTACTACTAATAAATGAGATTGTTAATGCAATACTAGATTGTACATGTGATAATGCATTATATATATGTACGTAGAAATTGTTTCCATTACATTATATATGTTATTATTATTGAACGATTAAACAGTTGCTCACCTCGGTCCTAGGTCACCAGTTCACCACAAGTTGATTATATTAATGTGTGATAGGGTTACCATGGAAGCTTATACAGTAGCAATGAAGGGCTTGGCTCAGACTATCTTGAACCATATGGCTAAAGCACTAGGGATCAACGAGGGCGAGATGGTAGAGTTATTCGGTGAAGGATGGCAATCCATAAGAATGAATTACTATCCACCATGCCCCGAGCCTCACAAAGCCATAGGGATCACGCCTCACTCGGATGCAGATTCTCTCACAATCCTTTATCAATTGAATGACATCCAAGGCCTCCAAGTTAAGAAAGATGGGAACTGGGTGCCCGTTATACCCCTTGAGAATGCTTTTGTGGCAAATCTTGGGGATTGTATGGAGGTGTTCTTGCTAATAACAATACTTAATGAGAAATTAGTGAAAAATGATTTTTTTAAGAAAGCGACTTTCTGAAGAAGGACCTTTTAAGACAAAAGTTATGAGAAAGGACTTTAATTATAAGTTGTGTGAGGTTGTGAAGAGGAACATTGCCTGATTTTCCTGCTAGTTAACGTCTAATTCTAGCGTTGACTTTCACGTACCTAGCATCTGACACTGAAGAAAGAAGGAAATTTCCTGTTTCTTATGGTGAGAAACGAAATTTGGTTCTCATGAGGGCATTTTCGTGAATAAATCAATAACTTTTTCATTATAGCGGGCTCAACAGTTGAATAAAGTTGTTGAGTTATTTACGAAAATGCCATGTGAGAAACAAGATTTGTTTCTCACCATGAGAAATTGGGGCACCCTCAAAGAAAGACTCTCAATTACTTTATTCCCCCTCGTTTCCCCTCATGTGCCTAGCACGGGATTGTTTGAAATGGAGGAAAATATGGGGAAAAAGTATGAAAAGGTCTTTTTTAAGTGTCATGTGCTAGGAATTGAACATGATAGTCAATGTCGGAGTCATGCTTGACTAGTCGGAAAACCAACCAAAATTCTTTTCCACAACTTCACACAACTAATAAGGTTCTTTCTCACAACTTTTGTCTTAAAAGGTCTTTATTCACAAAGTCGATCAACCTCTTAAAAGTTCCTTCCTCACACATTCTCCATACTTAAAAAACATACTTCATGTAAGGTTTACACTTTTGAATCTATTCCCACTATTCTATTCTAGTATTGCTACCTAAGCTAGCTAGCTTGTGTGTTTTAAACTAAAGGTGAGATTGGGATAAAATCAACTAGAGAGAATGTGATCCTTTTATAAACATGTAATTAATGTAAATAAATGGTATTCCCCTAATAGAAGCATGTAAATTGGCTTCATTGTTGGTTGACAGGTTTTGAGCAATGGAATATATCGGAGTATTGAGCACAGGGCAACAGTGAACTCCGCGAAAGAGAGGATATCAGTTGCCACATTTCATAGCTTCAACATTGATTATGATATAGGACCAGCTAAGAGCATTGTTGGTCCCCTTAACCCTCCACTTTTCCGAACGGAACCATTGAAACAATACTACAAGGGGTTCTTTGCAAGAAAGCTCAATGGAAAATCATATCTAGATGTTATGAGATTACAAGGAGATCTCAACACCAATTAAAATTACGGAAAGCCAAGTAGTAAGATCTATATATGATGGGCAAGCCCCAGTTTCTCTTCTTGAGAAACAATGGTTGTTTCTCTAATGGCAAATTCTGTAAATAATAGCAAAAGTGTCAATATTATATTATTTTTTTGTTGCTGACTCACACAAAAAAACAATCAGTACTTTTTTTTTCCTGTTTCTCTCGTTCTCCTTTCTTCGTTCTTCCTAATTCATCACTCATCAACAATGGCAGATTATGTCTAATTAACACCACAACAAACATCATCCCAACACCTCAACAAACACGAACCCCAACAGTACCACTTCCGGCGGCTTCGCCGCCGAATTCAACGAAAAACCCTAGGAAAAAGATTGAAATTAATGGCATGATTAACCCCTAAATGATAGGTGTTTGATGTATGCTTGTGAGCTTTCCCTCCTCCATTGAAGCTACTCCATAATTGAAACTTGATGATTAACTAGTAACACTAGATCGTGAAATTGAAATTCAATGGCTTTGACGGCGACTGAATTGAAGTTAATTAAATTCGATTATTTTAAAATTAATCTTACCTTAGAAGGTGCTTTAATAGTGGAGGCAAAGCTCATGTGTTCCTTCAATGGAGGTTTTAAGTAATCTTTACTGGCAGAGAAGGAGAAAGGGGGAGAAAATGAGAAATCAAGAAAAGACTGGGGAAAGAGAAAATATGAGAAATACAATATTGTCCCCATTTTATTAGATAAAGACAGATTTAACCCTTTGAGATACATGTCAAGTATCTTAAGAAGAGAAACTTGGATTTACCCATATATGACTGTATTGTGTGTGGGACGAGTAATACTCGGAGTGTTTGAAATAAAGCTCGAGGGAAACTAAGTTCGTCTCTTATGAAAACAATAATGTACAAATTTGTTTCCAAAACTAGTTTATGTTGATAGACAACAAACTACAAAAAACACTTCAGCTTATATATTAACTCCTCCATCTTTAATTTATTTGTGGTAGTTGTTTCCAAAAGGTACTGATGAGGGGTTTGACCATTAACATTGATGCAACAACGGTACGGATATTGGGCGGTTTCGCTTGTTTCTAGAGCAAAATCTCGCGCCCAATCAGAATTCAGGTGCGTTGGTCCGTTGGATAACGAGTTAGTATATTTATTTGTTGAGAAAATTGTGAAAAAAAGAATTTTTAAAAAAGGAGTTTTTAAGTGAAAACTTGTGAAAAAAAAGGTTTATTAAGTTGTATTTTGTTTGAATATGGTACTTGGGTGAGCTTACGTGGTGGTCAACGCCGGAGCTCTGATGTTGACTATCCCGTACTAGTCACGTGACTTATTTAACCAATGAAACGGTTAGGTCGAGAAATGAGGTAAATTTGGTGATTTTTTTAAAAATAAGTCACGTGACTAATTAACATGGGATAGTCAACGCCAGAGCTCCGGCGTTGACCACCACACAAGCTCACCCAAGTACGCCATACAAACAAAATACAAATTAAAAGGTCTTTTTTCACAAGTTTTCACTTAAAAGGTCCTTTTCAAAAAGTCAACCGCTTAAAAGGTCATTTTTCACAATTTTCTATTACTTGTTTTCTTTTTCGCTTGTTCGTTAAATATAAAAAAGCATTTGCCTCATTATTGAAATGCTTCTTGTAGGATTGTAGCAACTTCATCTTTTGCGTTCGATCAGGTGCACGGATTACAACGAAAGTTGTGTTAATATTAGGGGAAATTTCACTAAGAAACCTATACTGGTGGTAGTGATTTTGCTTTTAAAATGGTGAATTTTGTTCCACGGTGCAAATATCATGAGATCTTTCATTCAATATCGTATTCTTACAACAAAAATTTCTAACATAATAAATAAATTTAATTTAAGGAAAAAGATCAAATTAGCTAGCTAAGTTCCTGAGTAATTTTAGCTATTGAAAACCTAAGTTTGAAAGTAGGGAGTTTTTTAATTGTAGGGGGGGGGGGGGGTTAGCTAATTTTATTTAATAGGTAAATAGGCCCTACTCCCTAGGGAAACATCTAAGGAAGTAAGAATCTAGAGAAAATATGGGTTATTATTGGGCCACTTATTATATGTTTTATGGCGCTTCCCAAATATTATTAAGGATATTTCGTGAGAAACTATCTAATCCAGCCTAAATTTTGTGAGAAACTACCTAATAAAAAAATGTTGTAAGAAAATACCTAATAAAAAATAAATGTTGTAATATACTAACTTTGATTGAAATTCCACCGTTGTCTTAATTTTAGGATATGTTGGTCTACCTTAGAACACCCCCAAAACCACCGTGAGGGTTGGTTTTCAAGGTGGTAAGGGTATTTTCGGGGTGATTGGAGGATATTTCGAGTCAGTGAAGGTAGAATAGTAGTTCGGGTTGATGGTTTTAAGGGTTAGAGGTGGTGGTTTTGGGGTTGAAAGGTGGTTTAGATGTGGTGATGGCGGAGACGATTTCATGTAAGTTGTGTTAGTGTTGGGAATGAAAGCGGTGGTTTTGGGAGTGTTTTGAGGCAAATCAACGGTGAAAATTCGATATAGGTAGTATTTTACAATATTTTACCTTTTCTAAGCTAGTTTTTTTACAACATTTTACCTTTATAAGGTAATTTATTACAACATTTTTTTTATTAGGTAGTTTCTCACAAAATATGAGATTTATTAGGTAGTTTTTGACAAAAAGCCCTATTATTAATTGTGTTGACAAATACGAGTTTATCGATTCAACCTTAATATGAATGCCCCTTCTCCCTAAGCATTTGCCCTATTTTCCTTTTTAGTATGTCATTTAAAGTTTGCTCCATACTACATTTGGTTATGGGATCACTCATAACTAACTACTAATATGTAACCCCACTATTTTTCTCTCTCATGAACTCTTTACAACCAAAAATCAAAACACAACTCCACCCCTTTGGAGTAAATTACAAAGGGATAAAGGAAGTACTTCTTATTATTCCTTAGTGAACTCAATAAGCAGACACTTTTTAAGAGTTGAGGCCTTTGTAATAGAAGCTGGAACAAATCTTAGGTTTAAGGTTGCAAGTAGAGATGACTGTAAACACAAATTTTAAATTTGCAAAATATAGATTAAATAAATGAAATAAAGTGTTAGTTTTACTTTGGCTTGAACCCTTGATTGAGGGCAGAGGAGGCTTGATTGTTTATCGAAGATATATTTGATGTAGAGACATGAACTTATGATGTGCCTGATGATTTGATGTATGTTATTCTTACTTTCCTCCATGTTGAAGATCGTCGAGGCTTGATCTCTTCCAGAGGTGATCTTCTAGAGTAGAACGACATATCGAATGCTTGTTGGTGTTATTCTTCTAAGCTTCAAGAGGTTTTCTCTTAAGAGGTTTAGAGTTTTTGTGAGGTTTTCAATATTTTATGGTACAATCTTGTTTCCTCTTTCCCTAGATGAAGTAGAGAGAGCTATATATACACAGTGACAACACCCTTAAGGTTATAAGGGTTTGATCATGTACATTAGAAATTGGACTTGACAATATAAGTAAATAACTCATTTATAATGGCGTAACTGTTAAAAAAAAATATTTGTGGATATTCATTATGCCCTTATGTTCTCTAGACAATCTAGGTCTATGGTTTTATTTTTCTCCATAAAAACCTTGGTTATTGTGTATGTATATATATCCCTTAATATATGAAATAATAGAATGAACAATTCTCTCCCTAATTTCCCTCATATTACCTTTATTTCACAACATGTTATCAGCACCACTCTATATCCAATTGAGCATAAAATAGGATTATTCACTGTAAAACCAACAAGAGTCCTGCACGTTTGATTATAGTCATAGCTCAAACATAAAGAAAGGTACACATATACAGATATACTCCAATGCTTAGTTCGTTATTAATTAATTTTCGGTAGATATAAGTTGGAATGAACGTAAATTGGAATGAATGTAAATTGGAATGTATGTGCTATATTTTTCAAGAGAACTGGTGATTTGTATGAGATTTTTGATGCACTATGATTTAATATGCCAAACTTATATTGATTACTTGATTGCTATAACTTAATAAAGTCACTATTATTTAACTTGTATTCTTTCCATATGCGTATTATTTTTGGTTAATTGAACGGATTATTATCCACTAAACTCTTACGTCATAAAATAGCTTTTTTTAAAAAAAAAAAAATCATTCATGGCTATATTGTATTATTTACTATTTACTTCTACAATTCCATAAATTTGATTATATATATTCACGATCATATACCCCGTATCATCATGCATGTATTTGTTTTTCACTATATACTTGCATGTGATTACTATATACTTTGTTAATTTGATGATATATATATATATATATATATATATATATATATATATATATATATATATCTTTTATCAATAACCCTTAATTATCTTTTGTGGTTGGATTATATTCATATTAAATCTTTAATTTACACTTCACTCACTGCCTTATTGTTTGATAAGAGATTTATATAGTTGTATCAATTACACATTAGTTTTGGGCTTAGTTTATTAATGAATTAACAAAATAGTAGTAGTAGTCAGGCTATGCTTGAAATAAATTACTTTTTTGGCTATAAGTTTTAGAATCCGTAATTGTATTATTAAGGAGTATGCTGTTTCTCAGTTTTAATTAATAAACTATTATATATGTCTTGAATTATCACTATAATACTTTAGCGGCAGCTAACATTACACTACTAGAATTAGGCCATTTCCCGACCGAAAATACCCGTCGGTAGAGGTTTAAAATCCATCGAAAATAATCATCTTTTCGACGGAATTCCGTCGTTACGGTTCGTCGGAAAACAATTCCTAGGAAAAAGTGGAATTTTCGAGGAAAATTCCGTCGAAAATCACTTTTCCGACGGATTTAATTATGTTGATGTGGATTTTGACTTTTATTCTAAATCTGCCGCTATTTTCCGACAGATATATTCCATCGTTGATTTGCTTTGCCAACGAAAAATTCGGTCGTAAACCAGTTATTTGCAAAAATCAAACATTTTGAGGGAAAGAATTCCGTCGCAAATTTATGACGGAAATATGCGTTGCAGATTTGCGACGGAATATAAACCCCTCGCAATGTTTGATTTTTGCGACAGATTTTTATCCAGTAATTCCGTCGCAAATGCGTATTTCCGAAGGATTTAAGATGTAGTATTTGCGTCGAAAATAAGATTTCAATTCAACAAATTCAGATTTATTTTCTTAAAAAAAATACGCATCACTCAAATCCTATACTCCTGCACCTAATTCCTGTTATAATTAAAATAATAATCAAATTATGAAAATATTTATATATATATATATATATATATATATATATATATTCATAAAAGCTAAGTTAGAGTTGATTATAATCAAAAGCTACCTAATATATTTATTTCTAC